TGAAACCCAATTTTTCCAGCACCCCTTATTAAAGAGGCTACCTTTCCTTTGCTACCTTCTTGCTACCATAAACTGGAAGGCCTGTCTGCCACGCCACCTTGCGTTGGAGCCAGCCAATTATGGACTAAAACCTCTCAAACTGTAAACCAAATAAACCCCTCCCCCCTCTAACTTTGGGTATCAGGTATTTTGTCTCAGCAACGAGAGAAAAGTAACTAACACAGGTCCATACCCAGGAACTAAGCGCCCTGGCTCCACGAGTGTGGTTCAAACAGCCAGGCCATATCTTCTCAGGGATTCAAAGTCATCAGAGCAAGTACTGCAGGAAGGCACTGATTTGGTGTGAGGATAGTCTAAATGAATCAAGACGACCCTTGTGTCTCCCTATGCAATTGATCCAGGATCTCACTATACAGTTCAGGCTGGCCTCGAACTTGTGTCAGTCCTCCTGCCCCAGCCTCCCAAGTGCTGGGATTACAAGCATGCACCACCATGCCCAGCCACGATCCTTAAATGAGACCAGGGAGGTTGAAAATCCAGATACTTCTATAGTTGAGTTTTATACTGAAATGACTACTCTGAGCCCAGTCTAATCCAAATCCACACACTTGTGGTAACCCTGGGGTCCTTGAAATGTCCTAAGTACTGCGACTTGTGCCTTAGGATGAGAACACCACAGACTCAGAAAGCTAGCTGGCCCAGACCTGACCATGCCAAGATAAGAATAAGTACCAATAAGCTTGAGCTTTTAGGTGTCTTGGTCAGTATTATATAATTATGGTAGCATAAATACAGGGTGCAGGTGATCCAGGGCTCTAGCTTTGGCTTATGATTAATCTGAGGTGAGATTTCTGAGACTTTCTCAGGAAAGTCTTTTTTTCTTTTCTTTTTTGCAGTGCTAGGGACGGAACCTAGGGCCTCAGACATGCTGGACAAGAGCTCTACCACTGAGCCAAATGGCTAGCCTAACAAAAGACTAACTCCAGAGGGCGCTAAATCTCCAGTAAAGTGCTTCAAAGACTTCTGTGGTCCCCTGGCCAGAAATTAATCACCTAGGACGGCCCTGAAAGCACAGGAAGTTTTTAACAATGACTGATTTAACAAATCCCAAACAGATTAGTTCATCAGTCTGTACTAGAAAATAGAGATTAAATCAAACTGAGGTTTCTCGGGTCTGAGGAAGGGGCAGCAGGTTCCATGTCTAGACCAGAAGGTGCCAAGAAGCAGCCCCTGAAATAGCCCAAGAAGCAGGGCACAGATGATAAGACCTTCAAACAGAGAAAGGAGCAGAGGAAACTCAAGAGCTAAGAGGAAAAATTGTGGGGAAGCCCCTGGCCACAGGTGAAATGAAGAAACCCAGCAAAAAGCAAGCTGTTCCGTGTGCCTGAGATCATAGTGACCCTTGATACAATTCCTAATTAAACATCTCAATTCCCTGCCATAACATCTTTCCTACCAATAGCTTGGATGAAGTGCTGTCTTACAGCCTGCTATATATTTAAGAATAAACTTTGGGCCAGGGATGTAGCTCAGTGGTGCCTTGCCTACCTGGCAAGCACAAGGTCCTGAGTTCGATCCCTGCTACCAGAACAACAACAAAAAGAATAAACTTAAATCCAAACCAGGACTTACTGGGAAACTCAAGGCACTGTTTAGAGTCAGTGAGAAGACAGGTGAATTTACTTCACGGTGTAGAATGGAATCCTCAGTATCACCTTTCCAAGAGGACTCAAGGCTCAGTGACTTTCCTCATTAGAGTTTAATTTCCTTTCCTAACTGGAGGCAACATGATATGATGAAGAACACAGGACTTAGGAAAGCATCTGTCTTAGTTACTTTTCTCTCACTGCTGAGACAAAATAATACCCAGAGTTAAAGGGGGAAAGGTTTATTTGGCTTACAGTCCGTAGAGGTTTCTGTCTATAATCGGCTGGCTCCATGGCAAAATGGCACATGGCAGAGGGATGTCGTAGAGGAGAAATAGTTCATGGCACCCATATGGCAGCAAAAGCAACAAGGGAAGGGGAAGGGGCCCTCAACAGTCTTTCTGCTCCTTTTATCTTATTCAGACTACTTAGGACAGGTAGCACTCATACCCTTAACCCTGTGAATCAATGACACACTGTAGATTCGGCCACCTCTGAAATAGCCCCATCTCATTCTCATGAGGCTTTTGGGGGGACATCTAAACACAAGCCATAATAGCGTCCCCTGGAAATTCTGAGTCTTAATTCCTTCTCCTCAAAGAAGTGTGAAGACAACAAAGTGATGTACAAAAAGATGCAACAGTAACCAACACAGTCCAGATACTCAATAAACACTAGCCTTCTAACACAACCCAGCAAGCATGCCGAGCAGCCCAAGATACAGGAAGAGGTTGTGGAACCAGGACACGCTGCAGTCAAGAGACAAGATGCAGTGACACACAAATATTCTACTTTCCAGAGATCTTTTGCTCAAACTGTCAGGTGACCCCTACAATACTGACCCCTACCTGAAATGCAAGGTTTGGCAATCTCAAAAAGCACTGTCCCAGTCTCCAAATCTCGAATTTTGAAGCGGGTAAAATCAATACTGTAGATGTTGTCTTCGGGTTTACACAAATAATCTGAAAATGAGAGAGAGAGAGATCAACACTGTTACAAAATCCTTCAAAATTTGATTTAATCCTGAAGGGGTTTTTGGTTTGGTTTGGATTTTTTGTTTGATTTGCAATGCTGGGGATGGAACCCAGGGCTTCACAAAATTCACTCACACTAGGCAATGACTCAATCACTGACCTACATCCCTGGCCCTAATTCTCAAATTCTCCAGCAAACTGTTTTGTTTTGTTTTCCTGTTATTTATGTATAATACTCATCACTCCTCCAAAACATACTCTGGTGTTAAAAATAAGACAAAGTTGTATGGACAGAATCAGGAGGTCTAAGAAAGAAACACAGAAGCTGGGCGTGGAGGCACATGTCTGTAATCCCAGAACTCGGGAGGCTGAGGCAGGAAGATCACTAGAAGTTCAAGACCTGCCTGGGCTACATAGTAAGTTCAAGGCTATCGTGAACTACATAGTGAGATCTTGTTTCAAAAAATTAATAAATAAATAAAACAGAGCAGAGACTTGGTTTAGATGAAAGAGTATCAAAACTTTTAGAAATATAGATCTTTTTTTTTTTTTTTTTTTGCAATACTGGGAACCAAAGCCCAGTGCCTCTGTACTACTGAGCTACACCTTCAGTCCTTTTATTTTAATTCTGAAAACTGGTTTCCTTGAGTTGCTAAATTGCCCAGGCTGTGTTTAAACTTGTAATCATCCTCCTGCCTCAGTCTCTCAAGAGTTCTGGAGTTATAGGCATATGTCACCATACCTGGCTTTGAAATGTGAATTTTATATCATGATACAAATTTTCAATTTATTTCCAACCACTTTTTAATGTAAAAAACATTCTTAGAAGGTGGGATGTACAAAATCACAGTGAAGACAGGTGAGGTGGCACATGCCTATAATCCTAGCACTTGGAGTCTGAGGTAGGAGGATCATGAGTTTGAGACTAGCCTGAACTACATAGTGAGTTCAAGCCCAGCTCAAATTACATAGCAAAACCCTGTCTTAAAAAACAAAGCACATTCACATGGTGGGTCACATATACAAGGAAGCAAGATGAATGTGGCAACGAGAACACTAGGCCAAACTGAAGTACATCCTATAACAAACTAAGGAGCTAATGAAGAGTATCCCCCAAAGAAAATTTCACTGACTTCTTTCTACAATGACTCCTGACAGCATCTTCCCCAGGACCTACTTGGACACTTTTATCTCAGATTGCTCATTCGTGTTATCCTTTCACATTTCACAAACTGTCTCCAATAAGATGGCAAACTTGAGAGCTACTGCTTATTCTACAACTCCAAAACAGGCTGACATTGGTTCTGTTCCTTTAGAGGGTGCTCAACAAATAACTTGAGAACAGAACACATGAAATTTTAACAGCAGTAATAAAATCTACGTTCTGGAGCTATGGCTTTCTCTGAGGAGCTGCACAGGTGGGTTTTGGGCAAGAGCGCCACTGCTAAGCTTCCAAATGGGATCTGAGTGCCCGCTGAGAATGCGGCTTCTAGGGCCAGGCATTAGAATGACCAACTCACCCTTAACAACAGGAGCAGGCCTGAGGCTAGGAAGGTCAGGTTATGAGCATTTCTATACCTTCCATGCCCTTAACAAAAACTTAAAGAACAGAGAAGCTTTTTCAGTTTCAATAAAACTCAACAGCAATACTGTCTAAAGATGCACTCAGGCATACAAACAGTCCCAACCCAATGAGGGGGACATTAAAATATCCAGGATCAAATTTTAGCATATGAGGATTCCCTTTGCGCAGACTGGATCAAGACCCACTTTCCCCAAACTCCCATTCCCAAATCCTTGGTGCTGCCAACCCGAAACCTGAGGTACACTTGAGCAACCCTGGACTGACTAAAGCAATTCAGACAACACCATGGTGTCCTTCTTGGCAGCAGGGTTGGAAGTGTGCAGGTGGGTGGGATGGATAGGGGAAGCCAGATCTAACCAGGTGACTGCAAACTCCTAAAGGAAAATAAATATCAAGACCCTCTCAAAGGGTTGGTTTGGCAAAGAACAGAAAGAGGGAGATCATCCAGAACAGGAAGTAGACAACAAATTTCTTCCCACCTTTCCTCATATTAGTGAAATAACTTAGGAGGGTTGCCGTTATGCAAAACTCACATTTCTGAAATCCTGACATACTTCAATTCACTAGGAAAAAAAAAACGTCAAAAGCAAGATTCACATGTGGGAGTTTGTACATACAGTGAAACTTTATTAACGTTTTCTCTGTGGCACAGTTTTTAAGTTTGCAAGAAATGCCAGGGCCCCGCGTTCCGAAGGAAGCGCCCACCTGCACACAAAGGGCCAGCGCCTGGGACCAAAGGGGAGGAGACCAGGAGAGCAGGCATGGGGGAGGGGCGGCCAGGGGCCGGAGCCCAGGGACAGGCGGAAATACAGGTAGGGGATCGGGCCTGGACGACCGCTGCTGCGGAAGCTGGGGACAAACGCGGGCGGGGGTTGGGGGGTCGGCGATGGCTGCGAGGTACTGAGCTGTGGGAGCCGGCTCAAGAGGGTCCGGTTCAGCCGAACGCGGGCCCTTCCCCACTCACGTCAAACTGAGCTGCCGCACTGGGTCTGGCCAGGGGGAAGGCCGGCGGGACCGCATTCCGAGGGCATTTGCGGCCAAGCCCAAGGAGAACCCCTTCCCCACCCGCCCCGTCGAGGGCGGCCAAGCGGACTGGGCAGCGAGCAGAGGGAAACGCGGCCTGGCCAGTCAAGCGGCCCGGGTTGCCCCTCTCGCGGGTCGAGCGGACGGACCAGCTGAAGGCTACGCGGGCGCGAGGCTCGGCCCAAGCGGCACTCACTCTCGGTAACCCGGCTGAGGCGCAGGACGTGCTCGGGCCGGATGGTGTCCAGCGCCAGTAGCTCCTGCTCGGTGACCGCTGTCGCAATGCCGTCGCCGAGCGCGTGTTGGGGCGCCTGCCGCCGCGCCTTGAGCCGGTTGAGGACGCCGCCGCCCGCCTTCTTCTCCTCCTTGCCAGCCACCAGCCCCCTGGACCCAGCTGCAGTCCCCGCAGCCGCAGCCTTAGGGTTCGGCCCGTTCATCGCTCCGCTGCCAAGATGGCCGCCGCCTCCGCCGCACCGTAACTATGGAGAGCGGAGGCGGGGCCGGGGCGCCACCTGGGGGCGGGCGGGGCGGGGCCTGCGGGGGGCAACCGGAAGGTTCTTTCTCCAATTTGGGACCTGCCAGGTGGTGAGTCCGGGGGAGTGGCTGAGGATTTAGGACCTCAACACTCTCCCGCAGTCTTTCAATGTCACCGTACATGTTTGAAATATGCACCTTACAGTCGAATGAGTTTTTCTCATATAAGCTGGAAAAACATCTTGGAAAATGTTTAATATACTTTGCATAGAATACAAGTGAAGACAGTGCTTGATCTGCAAAGACAGCCAGCCTCAAGACAAGCTTTCCAATTAGATTGCTGGAACTAAGCTTTGCTGTGCCGGGCCCTGGGCTAGACGTCGCGCTAGGCTATAAGAAATTTAAGGATGAAGGCAGTTTGGGTCTGCCTTGTTCACACTGTAGTACTGCCAAATTACCAAATGTCTGGCACACAGAATAAGTGCTCAATAAGGAATGAATGAGTGAAATTCTGAATAGTGCCCTCCATCCTCCCCACTTTGTCAGGAAGACTGTGAAGTGTGCAATTCATTATGACAGGCCAGCAAGTAGGAACTAGAAGACAGACTGACTCCCCTGACTGCTGTGAGAGGTGCAGCGAAGGTGCTAGAGCACAGGCGAGTGGTTTATTCTGGCCGGATTAGGGGATGGGGGGTTCACAGAAGTGACATTTCTATTTGGCCTTAAAAGGGCCAGGGATAGGCCGGGGATTTAGCTCAGTGGTTTCGCCGCCTGCTGCGCAAGCGCAAGGACCCGAGTTTGATCCCCGGTTGCTGCGCAAGCGCAAGGACCCCAGTTCGATCCCCGGTACCAAAAAAAAAAAAGGCCAGGGATTTAGCTCAATGGTGCGCGACTGCCTCGAAAGTGCAAGGTCCTGAGTTCAATCCTCCCCGCACCACCACCACCCCACCCCCCGCGTACCGAAGTGGGTGGTGGGGGAGTCAACCATGATTTCACCCAGTAGAGGAGGCCAGTGAGGAAAAGCCTGCCCTCTTGCATCGAAGATGGCTCCTTCCTTTGGGATTCCTGAGGGATTCTGTGTTGGAGGCCTGGCTCTGATGTTACCTCTCAGCTAGATTTAGGCCAGAGTGAAATCCCATCCCTTGCAATGGTCAGCCTTAAAACCTGCCAGGCAGGGCGGTTGCTGGGTCCTTCTCACCTGCTGTGAGGGAGCTGGGAGGGGGTTTTGAGGGGCTGCCAGCCCTTGAAGTGTTCCTCACAGTCCAATCCTGACTCCACCCCAGCTTCCCAGTTAGGTAGAACAGTATGTGGCCAAGTTACTTTCTCAGTGCTCCCTTGCCTCTGAGATTGGCACCCCACGGTGCTTACTGTGTACTGTTCCATAAATGAGTGTAAAAAAAGTCTTTCCTTTTGCAAACAACTTTTTAAACCACTCAGCAGTGAGTAGTTACTGAAGAATTTCCAGAACTTTTTTTTTTTGGTACTGGGGATCGAACTCCTTGCACTTGCAAGGGAGGTAGAGGAACCACTGAGGTAAATCTCCGGCCCCAGAACTTTTAATATGCTATTTGTGATTGCGAAGAAGGTAGTTTAGTATGCAGTCATTCCCTCCAAACCTGCTCACTGAACCTTTGCTGTCAGGGCACCAAGACCAGAATTTCCTGGGTCCCAGTTTTGTTCTTTGTACAAGTGTATTAACTCATTCAACTGCAATTCCACATCCAGGAATTTAGCCTGCATGTATACACAAATATTGTCACCCTGAGAACATTTGTAGCACTGATAAACTATTGTAAATTATTGTTGAGTCCATGTTGTACAGCTGTTAAGAAGACTGAGCTTGAGCTATATATATGAGTACAGAAAGATTTTAAGATATATTGAGTGGCAGCCAGGTATGGTGGCGCACATCTATAGTCCTAGCAATTGGGAGGCTGAGGCAGGAGGATCGCCTCCAAGTTTGAGGCCAGCCTGGGCTACAGGGTGAGTTCAAGACCAGCCTGAACTGCATAGCAAGACCATGTCTCCAGTATCTATATATATGAAAAAGCAAGGCACAGAATCCTGCTTGTTTAAAAATAAAATATGTCATAGATGTGTTTCTGTGATTATAAAGGAAGAAATCTATATATTAAAATGTTAACCTTGATTACCTCTAGAATGAGAGTATTAGAAGGAGTCAAAAGCAATATATACTTAGAGCTACTTCTATACTGTTATCACACGCATATAATCATGAGAAGTTTGTATGCTTTTTAGGGGGTGAGGATGAGACAGGGGCTCCCTATGTAGTCCAGGCTGGGCTTGAACTCACTCTTTATCCCAGACTGGCCTCCAACTCGCAGCAATCCTCTTCCCTCAGCCTCCTGAGTGCTGGATTACATGCGTGTTCCACTATGCCTGGCATGAATGCTTTTTAAAAAAGAAATCACCTTAAATTCTGTGTCTGGGAGGCAGACTCTATGCCAAAATATACTTATTTCCTCTTAAAATTTAAAAGTAACCTCAGGACTAGGTGTGTAGCTCAGTGGTAGAGTGCTTGCTGGCCTAACATGCACAAGAATGTTCTGGATTTGGGCTGGGCATGGTGGTGCATGCCTATAAACCCAGAACTTGGGAGGGTGAGGCAGGAAGATCGCTGTGAGTTTGCGGCCACCCTAGGCTACATAGTGAGCTCAAAGCCAGTCTAAACTACATAGCCAGACCCTGTCACACACACAGAAAAAGTCCTGAGTTTGATCTCCAGCAGTGCCACAAAGGTGTGGGGGTGGGGACAGCAAACCCAGTTGTAATCCTAGCACTCTTGGAGACTGAGGCAGGATGACAAGTTTGATCCCAGCCTGGGCAACTTATTGAGACTCTGTCTCAAAATTTTAAAAGTGCTGGAGATCTAGCTTATTGCACAGGCCCTGGGTTTGGGGGAAGAAGGAAAATAAAGAATTATTGCATTAAATAATTAACACCAAGGTTTTCTGGGGCTGCACATGGGAAGCCTGCAACACAAGAGCTGGCCTCCCTTTTACCCCAGTCGGGTAATCTGAGTTCTTCCAGCCACTGTGAGGACTGCAACAGACTGGGTTTCACGGCACTCCCAGGTGCTCTGCCTCAAATCAGGCCGGGCAGTTGGAGCAGCCAAAGCACATGAGAGGGCTTTTCTGCGACTGGGAACACAGTCCTCTCCACAGCCTCCCTGAAAATGGCCCACATGCAGTCCGCAGGTCAGGGCTGGGATGGTGGGCACGCCCTGTGAGCTGGGACTGAGAGCCAGCCATTTCTCCACGGCCAAGTCACTTCCCTCCCTGGCTGAGGGCTGTTTTAAAAAAACACTAATTTATTATTTATAGCCCACCTGCTTCCAGAAGCTTTCTAGCACATTCCAAAGTCTTATTAAAGTACAAGATCGGTGAGTAAAAATTCACACAGCCTTGTGGAGAGCAGTACTTTCAAAATTTTTAATGCATGTACTGTTTGACCCAGTAATTCCTGAAAGGAATTCTAAGGAAGAAATTTGCACATAAGCACAAAGATGTATGTACAAATATGTTCACTGTAGCAATCTGTACTTGCAAAACATGAGCACTCTTTTAATGTTGATAGGGGATTAGTAAAATAAATCACAATCTAATCATAAAATACTGTGCAGCCCTTTAAAGGAAATCTCTATGTATCAACTTATGTATATGTAGAAATTCTCTAAAACATATTGAGTGATTATGTACATTATATATAGGATAACCCCATTTTTAAGATTAAATTTTTATTTATTTATTTTTGGTATGGGGCTCAAACTCAAGTCCCTGCGCTTGCGAGGCAGGCGGCGGAACCACTGAGCTAAATCCTGGGCCCTCCCATTTTTAGAAACACTATATATATATATTTTATATGTGTAAATACATATAAAATGAAAGATACACACCAGGCTATCACCTGTATTATCCCCTAGGGATTAGAGGGATAGAGATAAAGATGATTTTCACATTTTGTACCCCATATAATTTTTAAAAAATATTTATGTATATAATGATATACTTCTAGCACTAAATCTGGAAATGTTACTTTTTTGTGAGAAAGGATGTTAATAAACCCCTATGTAATCACAGATTCATCAGCCATCGGCATTATGCACTACGTCTTAAAAGGTTTTTTTTTTCCTGCCTCAGCCTCCCAAGTGCTAGAATTACAGGTGTGTGCTACCACACCTGGCTGAAAGGTTCCTTTCTGAAAATGGCATTAAGAGCACAGGTTTTAGAATCAACAGGGCCATGTCTTGCTCCACCACTTCAAATCTATGTGACTTTGGGCTGGTCATTTCTCTTCTGAGCCTGTTTCCTCATTTATAAGTCAGTCTAGTCACCATTTTGACTAAGGTTGTTATAAAGGAGATCCAGAACAGCAACAAAAAACACTGGTACTGCTGGGGACTTAGCTCAGTGGTTCCACCGCCTGCCTTGCAACTGCAAGGGCCAGAGTTCAATCCCCGGTACCAAAAAAACCCACAAACAAACAAACAAACCACTGGGTACAATGGTGCATGCCTATAAATACTAGCTACTCAGGAGGCTGAGGCAGGAGGATCACGAGTTCAAGGCCAGCCTGGGCAAATTAATGAGACCGTGTCTCAAAATTGGAAAAAAACAAATGGGGGGGGTGTGTGTGCTGTAGATGTAATTCCATGGCAAGTGCAAGACCCAGAATTCAATCCCCAGTATAGAAAAAAAAAAAAGTACTACACCGATGCCAGCATGAGTGCCAATGAATGGTCCCCAGTGGAAGTGGCCTTTCTCCAGGACCCCTCTGCGGCCACAGGAGGCAGGACGTAGCCATGGAGCTGGATGGAGAGTGCAGGGACTGAAAAGTACACTCAAGTCAAGAGCTGGAAGGAAGTGAGCAAGGGACCGGGCCTTGAGAAAACAAGAGATGCAAGTGGAAGCAAGTGGGGTTACATCGTAAGTGGTCAGGAGCAAACAAAACTAAGACTGGGGTCTGCCAGCCCCAGGACTTCCATTCTCCACCCACTTCTGCTTGACCCCTCAGCCCCATTACAGCAAGAGGCTTTCCAGTAAGCGTTGGCAGATCTCGTCTCTCTTCCTCTGGGGGGGTTGGGGGCAGGACTAAGCATGGAGAAAGGTCTGGCACACTGGCTCCAGCCAACCGGGAGCCTGATTTCCTTAGTAAGATTAAGATCTGGACCCACGGAGTGGTCCAACCCAAAGCCGGCACTTAGCCCAGGATCTTCTGTCAGACAGCTTCCCTCCCTACTACTCCCTAGAGCAGGTCTTCTTCAGGTCTCGTCCCCATTTGGCAGCTCACGCAAAGCTACTTGAAATAGTAATGGCTAAGTCTGAATTAGTAAAGAACTCCAGTTATGGGTAGCCTCAACCTTAGAATGAGGCTCTCTGGGCCTCGTGGCTCGCTTGCGCCCTGGGAACAACTCCATCCACACTGGCCTCATTCTTGGAGCTGAGCACTTCAAGGGGTAACACCCCTTTCCCCCACAGAACCAGCAGCCTTCATTCCTGCCTGGGGAGATGCAGCACGGAGGTGCTGGAGCCCTGCCACATAGCATCCTGGGGAAATGGAAGGCCCGAGTAATGGTTAAGAGCAAGAGCCCTCTTTAAAATCTCAGCTCTCCCTTTTGCTGGCTCTGTGGCCTTGGGCAAGTCCTATTACCTCCCAAAGGGTAATAGCAACAGGTTTGTGGAAGATTACACAGCTAATATCTAAAGTACTTGGCATTGTGCCTACAAAGACTCAATAGAGGATAGCTGTAATTACTGTTTTTACAGCTTTAGAAAGAGCATGGGCTTTGATGGCAGATAGACTGGGTTTGAACCCTGGCTTAGCCATTTATTGACCAGAACTTTTTTGAACTTAGACATCTGTAAAACGCTGCCCACAAATTATAGGAAGAAAATCCTTTCTGCATTCTGCCCTTCCCATGTATACTCAACACTGTAACTCATCAGAAGAGGAGAAAGCAGAGATTATCTTGTAACTTAGCTTGTCAATCTGTCCAGAGGACGGCAGCTACAAGCCAGGTATGCTTGGGAGAGGGCTGGTCAGGGCCAGCGTCCCCAAGACAGTAGAAACGAAGTATAGTAACTCATATTTCACTGCATGCCAGATTGAAATGGCCAGGCAAGGCTTTACAGAATATTACTCCCTTAAACAAACACCCTGGCAAAAAGGAAAGAGACACATGGCTAAATGAGCAATAGCTTCCAAACTCATCACAGCCAAGTGAGCCCTCCCTGGGTCTCCTCATTCCCACCATCACATCACCTCTTTGCGACAAAGCTCAAATTCAGTCCCAACACAGAGTGTCACTGCAAATTGTTTATTAAAACACAAAGCAATGGACAGTGAAAAACATCCTGATGTTTTTACTTTTTGGTGGGAGTGGGGTGGGGCCTGGAAGGGGTAGGGACAGATGGAGACAGCCCAGAAAGAAAGACAGCTCTATCCACCCCCACTGCTTCCCTGGCCAGCCAGGTTCAAAGCCCCTCAAGTACATCTTGCTGTGCTGCTGCTGTAAATGCATGTTGTGGCTACAAAGAGTTGGTTTGGCCTCTGCAGGGAGAGGATGGGAAACTAGAGTAGGAGCTACAAGGGCTACCAAGAACTTGACACTTTTTCTCCAATACTTGATACCACACAGAGCAGCCAGGCCCAATGTGGAGGGGCAGGGTTGGTTTCCTAACAAGCCAGGTTAGCCCAGTGATGGTGGAAGAGACTGCCCTGAGCTCAGAATGGGCAGCTGGTCCTAGCCTGGGAGACCTTCGTGGAAAGGAAAGGTGACACTCCTCAAATCCAAGCAGGGAGCTAATCCAGGGTCCAATTTCTTCTCATTCCCTGGATCATGACACAGCAAGGGAGAGTCAAGAATGTCTCTTTCCTGGTTTTGCCATAACGTCTCTCCTGCCAATTCTCCCTCCTACCTGGCAACTTAGCTCTCCTTTCCCGACAGTTGTCTTTTGAAAGGCCGGAAAGCACACTTCAGTTTGTTGTTGTTTTTCAATTGAAATAAAGCACTGAAGCTCAAAATAGAGGTGAGAATGGAGTTCTGCTTTTCCTGGTGGTATGTGCTCCCATCTCACAAGACTGCCTGGATGCAAGTGGTGCCAAGGCCCTCTCTGCCAACTTGAAGAGGCACTAGTGTTTCCCTGCTTGCCAGCACAATCCCGGCTCCTTGTTTTTATACTCCTGGGAGGAACCCGTCCCAAGAGATCCAGCCTGCTCTTTTCCTGCCAACTCAGTCAATCCCCAAATCATCTGCTCTTAACAAATGATTTGGCCACCAAAAGCAACCTGGACAAAGGCAGCTGGGGAAGGACAAACCAGATGGGCAGCAAGCCACCCATGTGCAAAGACCGCCCTCCCTGGGCCACTGACCCACTGCTGCCAAGTTGATCTTGTAACAACATAAGGAAATTGAGCCCTCGTGCCCCAGGAGAGGTCCAAATACAGAGTCCTAGCTCAGACTGAAAGGGAAAACTGCTTTGGCCTCTCCAAAGCTTGAACGTTAAGGCTTCTTTGCAATTTTCTTAAGAGCTCTTTGATCCCTAGTTTTATCTCCCCCCCTCAAAGAGAGGCAGATTTCTGAATAGATCCTGGGTATTTCCGGTTCTGCTTCAGTGCACTCTCACTCACTCTTACCCCAGTCTCCTTCCTCAGGGGCCACAGCAGGAGGCCCAAAGCCCCCAGCCCCGTCTTAAAAAAACAGACAAACAGGAGCATCTATCAGCCTCTCACTTGCTCTCCTAAGTCCTTTGGGAGGCATGGAGGGCAATGTTACATGTTACCACTTGATGCCATTAAGGCTCCTCAAGGCAAGAAGACACTTGGATTAAGTAAGAGAAGGCCAGCCAAGGGGACGGGGCATAGGGAAGCAGGCCCGCAACCGGGACTGTGGGACCCCCACACACACCTGAATCTAGAGGGAATGCCCACCCTGGCTCAGAGCAGGAGAGGAAAAGGCACTGTGCTGACCGGGGTGGGTCCTTCCCCAATCCCCAAGGAGGGGAGAGAACCTGCTAGTTCTTTCCCTGGGCATCCTCTGGTGAGCCAATTTCTAGGGAAAGGGACCTAAATGCTAGGAAAAGGAAAATACTGCTGCTGTTTTTCTGGAGTTCTCGGCTGAGATTCTAGAAGCCAGGGTTAGGGCTTTCCAGAAGAGCCTAGGCAGGACAAAAGAGAAATTCCTTAAAACAGAAGCTTCTCCAAAAAGATAAAGAAGTCAAGCCACACTTCCAAAACTGGATCAAACAGTTGTAGGTACAGATGGGGGGAGATAAGCTTAACTTAAAACTACCCCATTCCATCAAAGCCCACAAGACCTCTAACGTGACTGCAGTATCTCCAGGTCAGTGGGAGCAAGACAGCATGACCACACCCTCAAGCCACTGACGGCCTTGCAGGTCAGAGCTGGTCCTCCTGGGAGTCTGACACCACTGTCACTTGAGGATTATCTTTTAAATCACCAGAGCTCAGGGTATCCACTGAGCAACTTCTGCTCAAGAGTGGAGACTTTTCAGAAAAACAGATTTGGTTTAGGGGACATGGATCCCATAGATAGTTTCTTGGTACAATGTTTCAGTCAGCGTGAGTAAGACGCCAACAGTCCAATTAGAGACTGGCTGGCCCTTGGCCCAAACCAGACCAGGCTGCAGACTCTCAGCCATCTTCAGCAGACATCTCTGCGTGGTGCTCACAGAAACTGCTCTAGAGGCGCACTCCTGTTGTTATCTTGACCAGCTGGGCTCAGTGGCCCCTAAAACCCGGGACAGTGTAAATCGAGTAGAAATCCCCAGGCCTCTCCTCCCTCACCATAAGTAAGAACAGCCTCTCGGTTCTCTCACTAGCTCAAAATACAGAGAGAGGGGAACAAACAGTGCAAAAAGCAAAGATGAACAAGTAATTCTTGATATACACAATACAAAAATAAAAATAAAGCACACCCCATCCCATTCCTTTAACCTAAACTTCACGTACCTATATCATCTTGGAGGAGCCAAAAAAACAAACAAAAAAAGCTTTCAAGTTGAGCATGACAAGCTGGCTGTCACCAGCCCTAGGCAGCTCTTGTTAGCTGGGTGGGCTTGGCTCCAGGGGAATCTACCCCAGCCCCCACCATGCTTCTTCCCATTTCCTCACTTCCTCTTTAGCTTTTGTTAGCCACAGAAAGATGTTCCTTCCTTTTGGACACAACCAGAGAGGAAAGCACCCATCCCTATCCCTGAGGAAAGGAGCGGGCTTGGAAACAGGCAGAAGCAAAGCTGCTTGGCTTACAGTACCATTAGGAAATGGCCCCAGGAGTCAGGGTTTCCTTCTGAGACCCTGAGTCACCGAAGGGATGGGCTGAGGTGAGGAGGTGGGACCCTCCCCCTTCCTCAGAAATCCAGGCAAACTAACAAAGCAAGGCAAAATGGAGGCAACTAGTCCTTCATTTTGTCTAATCCACTGGCAGTGGCCCACAGCTTTGGGAGTTGTGATGGAACAGGAACCAAAGCCACCATCAGAAGCCCAACTAGTCAGGACATCCACCATCCCAGGAAGGTGGTCCCCCAAAACAAGGCTACAGTACCTCAACCTTTAAAAGGAGAGAAACTTCGGAAACACTTTGGGAAATGCTCCTGACTGCAGCTTCAGGCCACAGCCATCCAGCTGCCTGACTTAGTACCTTAGGACTGAGGCCCAAGTCACAGCAAAAATAAGGGGTTACAATTCTCAAATGACTAAACGCTGGCCTGGAGTAATCACCAAGAGCTAAACCCAGGACATGAGCCCAAGACTTATTTACTTTGTCACATAAGGAACAGTTCAAATATATGGAGCTCCAAATAAGGCAAACTCAACATTAAACACATTCTATGAAGATGGCCCTGGCCTACACTGCTCTAGCCCACGCTGAATCGAATCCTGCTGCCTCCTATCCTCAAAATTCCTTTTGGGTTGGCTGCCTCCTACCTCATGTTGCCCTAACTGGGAAATGGATGACAGTGATCAGAAAGCAGGAGAACAGGGAACACTTCAAGAACATTTCCTGCAGAAAATTTGCCAGGAATTCGAGACAAGACACTGAGATGCTAAAGTTAGCTTTGAGAGCTACCAGGGTTATGGCCAACTGGGAATCTTTTGGCCCCATCATGCCAAGAACCTGACTGCTACTTGGATAAGGAGATAAAAGGACAGAGGCAAATAGTATTAAGATCAACAAGAAACTGCTGGGCCAATACAGCCAATCACTCTCGTTCCCTGGGGCAATCTAGTTCCTGGTTGAACTGTGACAAAGGAATGGGGATAAACGAACATCAGATACTAGACATTCTAAACAGTGGTCAGTCACTTAGTAGGGCTCAAGTCTCTGAGGTTGCTCTTAAATTATGCTAACATAAGCCTTTTCTAATCCAAAGACCAGAAGAGACTTTTAAGGTCAAGTGTTCTGGTGCTGCAGGCTGGAAAGCGTCCCTGTCCCCTGGCAGCAAGACCCTACAAAAGGGCCAGTAATGAACTGCTGGGTCAGGTCCTCCTGGCTGCTGGCTCAGAGATCCAGAGAGGGAGATACCAACAAGGTGAGGTGGTAGAGGGTAAGACATTCAAGGAGAGAACGAAATCCCCACATGTCCTTCCTTTTTTGGTAATAACTTAGTGGGATAGTTAACAGGGAGAAGAAAATAAGCCAGATTAAGAAAAAAACTGAGAAGAAATCAAGTCCCCAAGAGGCACTGAAATAAAAATGATTTGCTGTGGTAACAAGTCAGAGGCAATTTGAGGACCTGACATAAACTAAGCGTCTTGGATACCAGACAGTCCTCTAACTAGCACGTCAAGGAGATAAGTAATGATAAAAGCTCAAATACTTGAGATGGACCCATCAGTGGATTAATCCAGAAAGCTTTCCAAGTATGGAAGCATTTACTTTTTAAAAAACTTGTTTCAATTCCTTTTGTCTTTTCCATCCATCTTATATACCTTCACACACACACATGCTTTGAATCCCAGGACATCTGAAAATGGCCACGCGGCCATGACTTCAGAATATATCCAGCTCCCATTGCTGGTCTTCTCAGGTAATAAAGATGACATTTCCTTGCTGCTAAATTCTAATCTAAATAAGGAATTGAGACTCCTCTGAGTTCTGAGTCCTTTCTACTAAGTATATAAATGAGGATCCTTGTCAGGAAGGATCCATTTACCTTAAGTACCCCAGAGAAGAAAGAGACAGCCAGGGGCCAGCCACAAAGAAGACTAGGACTGAAGCAGGTCTGGGACCAGGTGGTGGATGAAAGCTATTCTCCACTCACTCTGCCTCTTTTTATCTCCTTTAACTTTTGTGTCTGTGGGTTTTTGTTTTGCTTTTTTTGGGGGGGGGGGGGAGCAGGGGGGTTGTTAATTATTGTGAAAAATATAGAAACCAAAACCGACACGTTTGGCTTCTTTCCCACTCCCCTCCACCCTGCTCAGGATGGTCACTTATTCTCACAACCGGCAGAGGCAGAAGAGGGTTGGAATGAAGACTCCAAAGGCCACCAGGATAGGAAACATGAGGCTACTGTTGTCCGAGGCATAGGGGTTGGGTGTGCGGGGGCCTGACTGCACCCGGTTCTTATTGGTCTGTCTTTTGGGATTAGACCCTTCATCATATTCTTCTTCTTCTTCCTCCTCTTCTTTCTTCTCCAATCCTGGATGAGGCTGCAGCTTTGGTACATCTAACACAAGAAAGAAAATAACTATTAAGCAAGGCCCACCGCAGCATTTAATTAAGACTCTTAAGAACAGCAAATGAGCCTACAAGTGTAATCCCTGCACTCTGGGAGGCTAAACCAGGAGGATTACAAATTTGAGCCTAACCTGGGCAACTTAGTAAGACTCTATCTCAAAATTTAAAACACAGCTGGGTATATAGCTCGCGCGAAGGGTGGTGGGGAGACTCCTGTGACCTCACCAGTGTCCACAGGAGGGAACAGCAACAGCAGACATAGTCTCTAGCCGACAGAACAGCAGTGTATTATGAACACTAGTCTCTCTCAGATTTAACTAAAAAGAAGCAAAAGTCCTGGCCACAAGTTTCCCCTTTCTGATGCTCATAGGGATGATTTCATCATGAGCTGTGCTGTGTCCAACACGATCAAAGATATCCAAGTCCTTCACCAAGACATGGCCGTTCAATCGTACATCAAATACCTTCCAGGATTAGAAAATGAAACAATGTCAAAACCTCCAGCCTCAAACCCTTTCATGGAATTGGAGATCATCCACCTGCCTGGGCTTCAAGTTCAAAAACAATTTAAGAAATAGGACCAGGAATTTAGCTCAGTGGTGCCCCGCTGCCTGCCTCTCTCTCTCCCTTTCCTGCCCCACTTCTTTAGATATCCAGATTACACAGGGACAATGACCTGGTACCCAAAATTTAACCTCTCAAATGCCTCCTCCTCCCTCCCATAAGCCCACATTTCCTTTCAATTCACAGTGACAGAAGAAGGGTTGATCTACAGACTTTTGGGCCCTCAGCCCACACTGCACTTGTCCTGCCTCTTCCTTGGGGATTCAAGCACAGAGCCATTTGGTGTAAGATAGCATCTTCCTAAATGTCATCATATCGTCCTTAGGGCGACAGCAAGACAAGAGGATGAGATCCTCAGTACATTCAGATGAGCTGGGGAAAGGCAGCGGTGGGATGGAGAAAGACCACTAAGACACAAACTTTCTCTGCAAAAGTTGGCCTGGGAAGCTGGCAGCCAGGATAATCTAAACCTCGGGGAAAAAAAAGATACCCAAGACTGGGTCCCAAGGTCAAAGTGACATTAATAAATGACTTTTTGTCCCAGTGTAGTCCAGCAACACTAGTCTTTCAGAACCTACCAGAACCCTAAAGGATTTTTCCTTTTGCCCATTTCTCCTAGAAAATAGGTATCAAACAATGAAATGGAATGTGGACAAGTTTTAGACAATTCCAAATGACTACCAGAATCAGCCATCCCAACAGGGAACATTATTAATCCAGGTTTATTGGGAAGTTAAAAAATTTTTTCTAAGATGGAGCCGGAGGATGTAGCTCAGTGGCGCCACACCTGCCTGGAAAGCCCAAGGTCCTGAATTCAATCTCTGGTGTGTGTGTGGGATTTTCCAAGATGAAACAGCTGATTAAATGGTAGCAGAGAATATGAACACAGATCTTCTTTCAAAGCCTGTGGCTGGTACCATGTAATAGTTTGTCCTCATCCAACTGACTCTGAATTGCCCACTCTATGGCTTAAAAGTGTTTCCAAAATAATGACCAGTTAAATTACTTCCCAAGGTTTTCCTTAACCTAAACCTTCAGCACAAGTCAAAAAGCAGGTCAAAAGCACAACTTACCATCCACTGTTCCAGCCATGATGTAGAGTGCACAGACTTTGGGATTGTCATAGTACCCCTAGGAAATAGCAAAGAGGGGTTAACCCCATAGGGCGACAAACATCTTCCCCTCACCCACTCCTTGAGCCCTTCCTTCCTCAGCAATGAATTACCTTGACAAACTCAATGTAGAGTTTCCCTGTGAAGGTAGATACCTCCCCCTGGACACTCAGTTTCCCCTTTCTGATGCTCATAGGGATGATTTCATCATGAGCCGTGCTGTGTCCAACACGATCAAAGATATCCAAGTCCTTCACCACGACATGGCCATTCAATCGTACATCAAATACCTTCCAGGATTAGAAAATGAAACAATGTCAAAACCACCAGCCTCAAACCCTTTCAAGGAATTGGAGATCATCCACCTGCCTGGGCTTCAAGTTCAAAAACAATTTAAGAAATAGGACCAGGGATTTAGCTCAGTGGTGCTGCCACCTGCCTCACAAGCACAAGGTCTGGAGTTCGATCTCCGGTATCAAAAAAAAAAAAAGAAAGAAATGACAGGTCTGGGTATACTCCAGGTTGATTACAGTCCTTTACCTGAGCCAAATCAAAACTATGTTGCTTTACTGCCAAGGAAGTTTCATACAAAGAACAGATACAAAGCTCAGCAATGGAAAGAAGGAAATTTACAGGAAAGGGCAGAAGAAAAGGATAAGGCTAAAAACAAGAAGGTGTTGAAAACTAAGGAGGGGGAAAATAACCAGGAAGGCCATAAGAGGACCAGTTAGTAACAAAAACTAGTATTCTGGCATTTCTGATACCAACCCCCAAGGAAACCCCGAACCGCAAGCACATGGGTGACGCAACATAGCTTTTCTAGGTGCAGAAGGAATCCACCGTCCTCAAAGTTCATCTCTTCCTCCCTTCTAGGGAGGCTCTCACACTCTCTGGTACCATAACAGAGGACTGTCTGAGAGCAGCAATGTCCCTCTGGTCAAACCAGGGCCTGACTGGGCCTTACCTTTTGCTGGGACTGTGCAAAGTAGACTTCAGCAAATTTCAACACCAGCACGTAGTCCCCCTCCTCTTTGATGGGCACTTCATATCCAAAAGTCTCCTCATTGTACCGCTCTGTTTGATACAGGATCTGGTCCTCAGGATTGGAGCGCAGTATTGGCAGTTTCATGCCATAATCGGAGGCTGAGGACGAAAGACAAAGAGAAAGAACATCAGAGGCAAGACATAAAAGGGACCCCAAAACTGCCAGAAGCATTTCCAGGGCAATGCTCTGGAATAATAACCCTCCTGGTAGAAGGGGCCAGCCCCTCTGTACCTGACTCCAAGCAGAGCTCACACAAAGGCTGATCAGACAACCATTACCATGGAAGAGTAATATGAAAGAAACTAGACACTAATCACCTAACAGCCCTTATAACCTTCACAGCAAGCTTTATGAAAGCACATTAAAATAACTTCTCCTGGCTATCTGGAGGATGGAAAGAGAACAAGTCTACCTCATTATGTGAAGAAACTGCTACGGTGCAGGTGCCTGGTTCCCAAGAGGGAGAGATGCAGAGAAATCTCCTGTAACCAGGGCAACAGCCAGGAACTCTAATCAAGGTGATTAAGTCCAAATGTTTCTTCTCAATCAGAAAAAGCAGGGTCTAAAGAGGATTATCTGGTTAGGAAAGTCTTTATTGTTTTTATTACAAATAAGATTCCAGCTTTTGGTTTTTCACAGTTTTTCATTCTAAAAGACCCAAGGCTGGCAGAGACACAGCTCATAAAAGAAGGGTGATGCACTCTAATTTCCTTTAGGTCCAACCATGCTGCTTCTCAAGGACTCAAAAAGCTCTACCTACTCTCTTGAGCGTTTCCTCAGTTAAACCAACAGAAAAGAACACCTGTACTGTAGCTCCTGTACCCAACACAGTGCCAATGGCTGGCAGGTAGTGTCTGCTGAATGAACAAATGGCAATGGCAACCATGAAGAATGAGCCTGCAAAGCAGAGATGCCATGCCACTGTCAGCATGAGGCTACAGCAGCCTGAAGGAAGGAGAATACACACCTCTGGCTGAAGATATCCAAGTCCTGGGTAGGCACCTTTCCTATTTCACCAACTGACAAGAAATTAAGTCTGGGTATGAGAAAAAAGTTAGCTATCTAGAGGTGGTGGTACATACTTATAATCCCAGTACTCTAGGAGGCTGCGGCAGGAGGATCACCAGGAGTTCAAGGCCAGCCTAAACTACATAGTGAGTTCAAGGCCAACACGAACTACATAGCAAGACCTTGTCTCAAGGAAAAAAAAAAAAAAAAGATTGCCTTCCACACTCACATGGTGACCTTGAAGACATTTGGCACTGAGATCCTTTGGGAGATGCCTATGAGGAGCATTCTCAAAGATTTATTTTCTGAATCACCAAAATTTCAAGAGAGAAGCTGTGGTAAAAGGTAAAAGATTAACTAAACTAAGAGACCCAGTGGCTGAGGTCAACACCCCCCCCCACACACACATACAAAATAAACATAACTGTTAACAATTCCTGTAAGTGACACTACTCATGAGATCAGATGGGCTGATGAGACAATGGAAGAGGAAACTCAATGCACTTTTGTCTGACTTTGTCTTCCTATTTCTCAAGAAATCAGAGGATAGCATTACAAAGGATGCACTGCCAACACCTCCCAGCTTTTTCCCAGATTCAAAAACCCATTTCCCTGGGACACTCACCTATAAAGACTAAAAGACTTCTATTTCTCTTCCAAATGAGCTCTAAGAATTTCCTTCTGCCATAAGGACTGTGATCCTTACAAATCTGGAACATTAACTAGATTTGATTTATTGATACACAGAAAATTTTGTATGCATGTGTGGGAGATCTTTATTTCTTGCCAAATGGAAAAAAAATGCCTGTGGCAGTCTCAGTCCCGTGGCTACGAAAATTTAGCAATGTGAACAAAAGTTACTTAACAACTTTGGAATCACCTTTAAGTATCTTCCCTTTAAAGCCCAAGAGGCTACCCTAAGAGAACTGCCCGAAGCCAAGCTGCAGTTGCCCAAGTCCCAAGAGATGTACCAACAGAAAGGATTGCTCTTTCCTCCGTAGCCTTTCACAACTAAACAGATTTCTCTAAAATACAGTGAGGTATACAGTCAGCACACCAAAGATGGCATGATATAGCTCTGTTAACCAAAAGGAAGAATGCCAAAGGGCCTACAATATGTTGCTTCTTAGCTTTCGACAATAAAGCAGCCAGCCTCCTTGGAAAATTCAGTCCAAGTTTTAGAATAAGACAGGCTTGGATTTGAATCCTGGCTCTGCCACCCAATAAGTGATGCTGAACAATTTGTTTTTTCCTAGTTCTGTTTTCTCACCTATAAAATCCACGTATCGGCTGAGTGTGGTAGCACATCCCTGTAGTCCCAGCATTCAAGAACCTGAGGCAGGAGGATCTCTTTGAGTTCAAGGCCAGCCTGAGCTACATAGCGAGACTTTGTCTCAAAAAAAAAAAAAAAAGAAGCAGCTATCACCTACCCCATAGAGCTGTGATAAGGATGAAAACACCTATGAAGAGCTCAATACAGTGGGCCTCACATGGAGAAAGACACAGGTAGACACCTAGGTATGCCAGCTAAGTTAGAATGTACACACAAAAAGCACTACATAAATGCCTCTATTCTGAGGAGTTAAGAGAATGAACTAAAAGAAAAAGGAAGTGTTAAAACTAACTGGAAAACAGTAGCTGGGAAGCGTAAAAGCAGGAAGGCCAGAATGAACAAGAACCTGTGCTATTTGAGACCTCGGCCGTGAAGTACTTTGTTGCACACCAGCACGACTCAGTGCCCTCACACTAGGCCTCTTGATCATCGGAATGGACTAAGACAAGGAAAGCAGGGTTTCAATGACCAAAATCCTCTACCTGTGGATTTCCAGTACTTGCATAAGGGGCTGTAAATGAAGCATGCCTGCTAGGTGACAGTACACGGAGAGCATTTCATAAGCAAATCAGAGGTAGCGGTGACTCTATTTCTCATCCTATCTTTCAAACTCTAATCTCTCAGGCCAAATCCTTCCCCACCCAGACAGAAAGCTGCCCAGAAAGGGTCTTCCTTAAGACTACAGAATTAGTAATCTGATAGGCTCAGTCCCCAGCCAGCATTTCCGCCCCATGGAGTCATGTTCTGCCCTATTTTTAATTCCATGTAAAAGGTAATGAGAGGGGGGTGACACTTACCCTACTCTAGACAGAAGAATTTTCAGAGTCATGTCAGAAATTTCTTTTTTTGAATGTCAGAAATTTCTAAACCATGAAAAGTATCGAGAAGGAATACAAGGCTCAGAGAAATAAAATAAGTTCCTCAAGGTTATACAACTTTAGCAGGTATCTTTCTATGAAAAGGAAAACAGCCTTTCCCTAAAGTCACGCCAAATCTGTGCCCTTAAGCCAAATAATGAGGTGTTTTCCTAGTCAGAGTAAAGAACCCAGAATAAACAAGTTAAAAACAACCTGGAATACACTGCCTGCCAAAACCTCAAGGTGAGTGTGACTATTTTTTTCTTTTCTTTTAACTTTTTGGCAGTACTAGAGATTGAAACCAGGGCCTCCGCACTGAACTATGTCTGGGCCTTATTTTTTATTTTGAGACAGGGTCTCACTAAGTCACTAAATTGCCCAGGCTGGGCTAAAACTATAGATCCACCTGCCTCAGCCTCCCAGAGTGTCAGGATTACAGGTACATGTTACCATGCCTGGCTGTGAACCACTTTCTACAGTGGTATTTTCACCTGATGGAGTAAATTTAAAAAATGCCTTTCCCAGGCTATAAGCACCAGCTATCCTCAAGGCAGAAGTAAAATTCAATAAACATGAAAGTACCTTTGAAAGCATAAGCCACCAGGTGCCCTGGGCCACTGGCCTACAAGAATGCTGAACTACAAAGAAACCATAGAAAAACAGCAAGTTCAAAAGCAGGCCAAATTCTTATCTGGACTAACTTGGCAACAAATACCTGAATTTATTCAACATATAATAAACTTTCCTTGGAGGGCTGGAAACAGTATCACAAGCACTTGGGAAAAGAAGTAAGATACACAGCTCCTACACCAGTTAGTGTAAATAGCTGCATGAGGCAAGGGTCTCCAAATACCTGGCACACCCTTATCCAAGCAGGGCAGAGGAGGAAAGGCAGAGCCAGCCCAGACCTACTGCAGGAAAAATGCTATTCTCGGGAACCTGGTTAAGTACAAGATTGCAACAAGCTGGTCCAAGCTGCATGTGGCAACCCTCACCCCTTTTCTCCGGATCCATGTCTTAATAGAGCCTAATTCATATACAGAACGGCAGGCAGAGAGGAGGTCCGGACCTCCCATCTACACAATGCCCCAAAGGCCAGTGTCCAAAATAGGACCCGATATGCATGAGCTCTGGTAGATCTCGTGTAATTTTACCTGCTTCACTAAACTTCTCTGAAGGAACTGCCACCATGAGGACAGAGAGCCTGGGTGACTGCTGACCAGGTCAAAACAAACAAACAAACAAACAAACCCATACGTGTACCAGCAAAATAAATCAGAATTTCTGACTAAGGGCAGTTACCTGGGAACTAATCATGTGTGATCTGTTTTATCCTCTGCACAGGGCACCCAGTAGAACAAAGTAACCAATGTAAAGTCTGGTATCTACTAAGCAAAAGATACAATCTGCACACTACCCTCACCACAGTTATCTCAAAAGGCAAAGTTCACAAACTGTCTCTAGTTTCCTCTCCCTGACCACACTTGCGAAGAAAGAGGAAGGTCTAGGATACAGATAGTAAAGACCTATAAAGTGTGGCTTTGCCTGCTGCAAGCCTGGAGCCCTGACTCAGCTGAACCCAGGCTACTAAGACCTACATGCCAGCACCAAATAAATTCCAAGACAAACACAGAACTTTAGAAAACAGCCCTGTGTTCCAAGACCCTCACATGTAGAAAAGCAAAAAAACTCCTAATATAACAAACTTCCAGGACACGAAGTTAAACTCTTCAGTAAAAGCCAAATGCCCAATCTGGACAATGTGGAAAAAGAGAGAAAGCCTGTCTCTTAGTTGTCTGGAGTGGCATATTGCCAATCTGGCAGCCTCTGAACCCAGAATACAGCATAAAAATCTCCTTCCAACATATGAAGCTAGGAACTTCCTTTTAAATCTGTTTTCCAGTCCCACTTACAGTAGAAACAAAGACTCCAGAACAGATCTCTCCCAAAAGGGGTCCGAGGGCGGCCTACATCAGAAGCCCCTGCTGCAAAAACCCAGGTTGCAGCAAGGAAAAAAAAGAAGAAGAAGAAGAAAGAAAAAAAAAAATCCCTTTATCTATTAGGTCTGGAATGGGGACCAGGGATCTGCATTTTTAACCACCTCCTCTAGCAATTCCTACACAAACTGCCTTTAGGAATTGTGAAGCTCTGTAAAAACCACAGCTGCTCAGCCAGCGAAGTCACAATCACTTTCCCCCTAAACTGGAATCATGCTCCTGGGACCAACTGGTGTATGCTGTAGCACTCTGTGGTATTCAGATCCTACACTGGTTGACCGAGTTGACACACTGCCACCAGCCTCACAGGCAGGATGGTTCCAACATAACCACCCCTGGGTGGCTTCTACTTTTAGAAACACATATTCTTCACCCCAATAGAGAATGGGTGAAGGAGGAGGGTACAAGCAAACTTTCCTGGACCAACCTCTTCGATGATTCCCGGCTATTCTGGCTGAGAATCAAGACCCGCTCCTGCAAATGGGGCAAGGCAAGCGACCGATTTTTGGGTCTGCAACCATATCTACCAATATCTGCCTCCATAGAAGACCAGGGGAACCCTCGAGGCCTGGGAAAATGAGAGGATAGGAGGTCACCCTTGTCTTTACTATCCCAGCTTGGGCTAGGGTAAGGGATTGAGAAATTGCAGGATGTAAGGTCCAAATATAACTTCGCGTCCACTTTGCCTCGATCGCAGTTGGTAGGTAGCTTCGAGCTGGTGCTAGGCCCTAGGCTCAGACCAAGTCCTTTAGGAAACAGGAGAGAAACTTCGCTCCAGACGTGGCCAGAGTCGAGGACTGGGCTCAGGGCCTGCATCTATCCGCGGGCTGCATCTCACAGCTCGGGCCACCGGTCCAGCGGCTCGGCAGAGGGGGTCTCACCTCGGCCCACCCGGCCTTCCAAAGGGTCCTTGCGGAAGTGGATCCCGTGCACGTCCACATGCGCCTCGCCGCCCGCATTGACCGCCCAAATGACGCTCTCAGGCAGCCCGGCCCCAGCCGCGCCGGGCACGCCGAGCCAAGGCTCCCGGAGCGCCGGGAGCAGCAGGAGCAGCAGTCGCAGAAGCGCCACAGCGGCTCTTTCTACAGCCTGGGGCCCCAGCATGGCGGCCACCACTGCGGGGACAGCCCAGGCCGACCCTCGTCTTCGGCCGGCCACCAGGCCGCCCCAGACTCAATCAGACAGCGCCACGGGCCGTACCGCCTCAACCACCGAGGACATGTCGCTCGCAGGCCCCCTGCTCACCCACAGGTGCCACCTCCCACCTCAGGAACAACCTACCCCGCCGTCCAACCCCGGCCAGGACCCTGCAGCCAATCAGCACCCGGCCCTCATTAATTACCCATCACCCTGCCGGGAGCCTCCCGCCCATTGGCTAGTAGGCGCCAAAAGGGGCGTGGGCACTCCTAGGCTCCGACCCAACCACAGGGCCTGAGTTGGAGCGCGCGCAGAGGGAGGGAGTTCGGTTGAATCTGCGGTTCGGTACGGAAGTGGCGGGTGCAGCGCCCAGGCGGCCCCGGAATCCCATGCCTGAACGAGAAAGGAGGCCTGGGGGGGAAGGTTTACGGTAGGGCGCACTGACACGTCGCCAACACTTCCGGTACTCCAGATTTTGAGACCGACTAGGCTCTGGAGGGGGTGTTTCTGTCTTTCACGCCCCCTTTCTTTCTCAGGAAGAGGTTTTAGCATAAACTCTAGTAAAAGAAGCAGTGTACACTTTTTTTCGAAGAGACCAGGCTTTTCTCCCGTGTAAAGTAAGAAGACCCAGTCTTTCCAGAAGCGCCACAAGCACAAGTCTTTAGGGCATGAGTGCCACGAGGATAAGATCCCGCCCCCACCCCCACCCCCACCCCTTAGCTGGCTGGGGGGGGCGGGTGGTAGAGTCCAAGTGGCCGTCCAATCACAAGGCTCCAACGCAGCGGAAACGCGTGGCTTTGTGAGGGAGGGGCTCCTGGCTGCCCGCGTCTCCATAGCGACCGCCTCTGGCCCGCCTCAGAAATCAGGGCTCGCAGGTAGGGGGTCCCTTCCCGGCCGTGGCGAGAGTAGTCGCAGACGGTGACCAGTTTGGAGGACCGGGGTACCTGATCGCCTTTCCTGCTCTTTGGTAGTTCATCCAGCGTTCTCCTGTTTTGGTGATCTCTATGCCCAAACTGTGTGCCCAGTCATTATTTCGATTAAGAAACTGCCTCGAGAGAGGTTGTTGCCAAAAGGTCTCGATACAAGTTAGCCAGGGCCACCACACCCCACCACCACCACCACTCGTTGAATCATTTGTTCCAGAAGTAATCAGTCGCCACTACTAAAATGGTCGGATTTAGCAGATGAAACACAGGAAGCCATGTTACATTGAATTTTTAGTATATATTAAAAATGTCATTTTTAACCTAAAATTCAAACTTAACTAGATCTCTTGAATTTTATCTTACAACTTTATCTACTAAGTGCTAGACTCATGCTTGGTGTTGCAGTGACTGAAAACACCCTGGGTACCAACATGAGAATCAGACTGTGAACAAGTCAAAGCCTAATTACTTATTTAGAACAATGTTAAGTGCTTTAAGAAACAAAACATGCCAAAATGGAGGATAAATAAAGGTCAGATCCCACAGGAATAACTTCTGTTGCATGGTTGTTTTTTTTTGTTTGTTTGTTTTGCAGTGCTGGATACTGAACGTGGGGCTCTGGCCATGGTAGGCAAGGTCTGTACTACTGAGCTACATCCTTGGTCCCAGGGGGAACTTTTGGATGTATTCCCTCCTCTGCTCACTTTCTCCCTGTTTTGCCTCACCCAGGGCACTTCTGGGGCTCTACATTGATGGTTTTTTGTTTTTTGGGGATTTTTGATACCGGGGATCGAACTCAGGACCTTGTGCTTTCGAAGCAGCCACCAGAACCACTAAATCCCTGGCCCTTGTTTTTGTTTTTTAATTCCACTCTCCTCTGAAAACTCGTTTTTGGAGAAAACTGTCAATACAGAGACTTGAATACAGAGCAGGGACAGGGTGGAAAGGAGAAACGGAAGCCCAAAGAGGTGAGGAGGCTTCTTCCCTCCTCAGCAGGTGGCCTCCAGATCCTGGGTACTAGCCACATACTAGGCTGCCTGCAGGAGCTGTGTTCATGTTATTTCAAAGTGAAGGAGAAACAATCACAAAAATGGATTAAAACCTTTGAGGAAGCCTCCAAAGGCCTCACCTCCAGCCTTTTCTCATTCCCCAGATCTTTGCTAGTCTCTGGTGAGCTCTTCAGATTCCATTCCTACTTGAGGACCCTGTACCAAGCAGCCTAGCCCCCTTTTGGAGATCAGCTGCTCAGGAGTCAGGCTGTCTCTTCTGGAAAAGATAAATCCTGAGACCCTGGAGGCAGGATGAGTGGGATCTGAGTCAGGCTGTCTGGGTTCTAAGACCAGTTCCACCACTTACTTATTGTGTGGAACTAAGCAAATTGCTTCCTCGGTTGTGAAATAGAGATAATAATTTTTCCTATTTCAAAGTGTAGATGCGAGAATTAAAGAACAAGAGGAAGGGCCAGGGATTTAGCTCAGTGGTGCCACACCTGCCTCACAAACGCAAGGTCCTGAGTTTGATCCCAGGTACAAAAAAAAAAAAAAACAAGAAGAAGAGGAGAAACAGGTGGCAATGCATATAATAAAATTGTTAGAATTGTTAAATAAATAAAAATGGAGACCATAGTTTGTTTATTTATTTTGCGTGTGTGTGTGTGTGAGAAAGACCACACTTTATTGGGAAGCAGAGAGCAAGCAGCACAGTGACCACAGACAAGGCCATCCGGTAGGCACTCTACATGTCACATTGGAGAAGACATGCCATGTTTTGCCAATAAAAATCAACTGGAACATGGTCTCCCTCAGGGTACCTTCCCAAACCTCCTCCTTCTCAGGGGTTGAGAAAAGTCCCAACCACTTCCCTGAAGGCAGCTGTGGTTCACTAGAGATACAGCCCCTCAGGGCTACCTTCCTGTTTCTTATAAAGAACATTTTCTTTAGATTTCTTGAAGTCTTCATTTGTCACTTTTGTTCTGCATTCTCTCAAAGCCATCAGCCCAGCTTCTGTACAGATTGCCTTGATGTCAGCACCAGAGAGATCATCCTTTGCCATGATCAGGTCATCCAGGGTCACATCATTGGCCAGCATCATCCTGCTTGTGTGAATCTGAAAGATGCGATTCTTAGTCTTTTCATCAGGCAGGGGGAACTCGATCTTCCTGTTGATGCGCCCTGGTCCAATCAGTGCTGGATCCAGAGTTTCTATTCGGTTTGTGGCCATGATAATTTTCACATCTCCCCATGAATCAAATCCATCCAACTGGTTCAACAGTTCCAACATTGTTCACTGAATATCTCTCTCACCTCCAGAATTTGAATCATATCTTTTGGTCCCACTGGCATCGATTTCATCAATAAACATGATGGATGGTGCATGTTCTTCAGCAACTCGAAGTAATTCCCGTACAAGTTTGGGCCCATCGCCCAGGTACTTCTGAATGAGTTCAGAGCCAACCACTGTCAAGAAGGTGGCCAAGGTTTGGTTTGCTACTGCTTTGGCTAACAAGGTTTTACCTGTGCCTGGTGGACCATAGAGAATGACTCCTTTAGGGGGCTTTATACCCATCTCTTCATAGTATTCAGGATGGGTGAGAGGAAGCTCCACAGATTCCTTAATTTCCTGGATTTGGTTGTCCAACCCACCAATGTTGGCATAGGTTTCCTGGGGGGCCTTTTCCACCTTCATCATCATGACCAGAGGATCTGTGTCATCCATCAGCACCCCGATCACGCCATGCACCTTGTGGTTGAGCAGGACTGAGCAGCCTGGTTTCAGCAGATCCTTGTCCACAAATGAAAGGATGCTGACGTGGTGTTCTGAACCCACAGATGTAGACACAATGGCATGATTGTCTTCGATGATATCTTCCAAGGTTCCTACCGACATTGGGGTCTCCCTCAGATCATACACCTTTGACCTTTCCTCCTCTTGCCTCTCTTCTAATGGTTTCATTTGTTCCTGATTTCTAATAAATTCTTCCTCCATGAGAAGATAGTCTTTAATTCTCTCCAATTTGAATAGTTTTAAGCGGCACTGAGCGTGAGGTGCCACCAGTGGCAGTTTGCTGGCAGCATCTGGTCCCTTTGTTTTCTTCTTCTTTTTTCCCACTCTAGTTGGTACAGGAGGTTCAGATTTCTTTTTCTTATCCTTGTCGTCCTTCTTACCACCTCCAGGACCATGACCACCACTCTGACTTTGACCCATCTTGCCTCAGCCGCTCCCGAGACCATAGTTTAGATAACCCAGGACCAATCACTTATAGCCACATAACCAAAACTTAATTCATCCTGATTTCCCCCAAAACGCTGACTCTGAACATAACAAAAAAAGAACCACATAAACTTAGTGTTCTTATCAGCATAATTCAATAGAATTGTATCCAATCAGCTACAAACAAGTCACTTTAAACAGCTGGTTGCCTTAGAAAGAATATGTGACAGCCAATCTAGAAAAAGGTCAAAATACTTCCTTCTTATACTTTATAAACTGGGCTATAACTGCTATAAATGGAGACTTATTGCCAATCTCTGTTTCTAGTCTGATTCATGGACTGCTCTTCTGTAAGAACAATAAACTTAAAATTTTAATTTGATCTGATTTTATTTTTGACAGTAGTACCTGGCACAAACCAAGCAATCAGCCAATTGTTATTCTGAAATGAAAAGGTCTCCAGAGTTCTTGCTTTCTGCAACTTGTACCCAACTGACACCTTGTAGTACTATAAAAGGTTGTTAGAATCATGCGTTTAGGAATGACTTCATATCTCTTTTTTTTTCTTTGCAGTACTAGAGATTAAACTCATGGCCTTGTGCATGCTAGACAAATGCTGTACCACTAAGTTATATCCCCAGCTCTTTTTTATTTTATTTTGGAAGGGTCTCCCTGAATTGTCCAAGCTGGCCTTGAATTTTTGATCCTCTCACCTCAGCCTCCTCAGTAGCTGAGGTTATAGGTGTGTGCTGCCACACTCAGCTCCCTCAGAGCTCTTTTTCTTGTTATTGTTTGTACCAGGGATTGAACTTGGGACCTTGCGCTTGTTGAGGCAGGCGGCTGGAACCACTGAGCTAAATCCCCTGCTCAAAGCTCCTGATAAGTAAAATCACTAAGATAACACTTTAGCTTCCTAAAACCCCTTGCTGCTGAAGGCCTCTGTGACCTTTCAGTGTGACAATCCTTCTGTAGACTGTACACAACTGC